CCTCACACCCACTGCTGTCCTGTCTGCAAGGAGCTCTGCCCAGCTCCTGCTTACCAGATGTAGAAGAAAAGGACAACCATTGGAGCAGATCCTGCAATCTCCAGGAGCCTCCAGTTGCGAATACCGTAACTCAAACCAGCCAGAAGCATCTGTCCGATGGCAACAAAGCAGTGAGAAATAAGCACTGCCTTTGGCCGGGAGGAGACACCGACCCATTCTGTAGCTGCGAAGAAGAATGAAGGTTCAGGGTCACCCTTTTCAAAACATGCAGGTCTATCTTTTGCTATTGCATCTTTTGATGCCACATCTGTCTGCCTCAGGGCAGGGGCATCCTACTCACCCAAAGCCAAAGTAGTAATCAGAAGTCCTGACACTGAAGCCCCCATGACACATCTGAAGGCCATGTACACATAGAAATGGGGCACAAAGGCAGTTCCTACACCAAACAAGCACTGGAGGAGGATGGAGAGCAGAAAGATTGGCCGACGGCCTACCCTGTGGAGGAAGAGGGAAGACACAGTTGGTATCTGGAGAGACCCCATGGGGATGGGGAAGAGCCCAGGTGGAATACAAAGTGATCGGAGAACCATTCACACCAGATGAGATTTGACATCCATGTGAACAAAGCTTATTTATAAACCCCAGGAAATAACCAGCAGGAAAAGCCGCATCTCACTTTTGACCCATTGTAGTGCTAGAAAAGGCAAAAGGAGGTGCTTCTAAAGGAGCCAGCCCTTGAAGGCGCCCCATGTCCTCTCTCTTGAGAGTAGTGAGGATCAGACTGAAATGGACTGTAGTGCTGTGAGGCACCTTGTACACATGCTGTGCCCTTCTCCCTTCCATGTCCCCTGTGTGGACATGTCCTCTAGGGAGCTGAGGACTTTGGTCCAGGACACCATGAGCTGAGCAGAGCCACAGGAAGGAGGGACACAGCTGAAGCTGTGCACACCTGTGCACAACTCTATGTCCAAATGTAGGTTTATGGGATTCCTGGAGACACCCTTGGGTAGCTGAGACACGAGCAGGGGCTAGACCTGTGGTTCCTGAAGGACACCCCCATAAGGCTGTATCTGGCCTCCCCCTCTTTTTAACCCTCAGACATCTACAGACACGTCAGGTGGCACCAGATGCCCTTGCTCAGGCAAGGGAATCGAGTCCTGCGGAGGGAGTATTTAACGCTCAGTGCATGGACATCTTGAACTCTCGGCTGGGCTGTTTCTGGGTGCTGGGCAATAACTCTGGGAAGGTGGCTGTGTTTCCTCACCTGTCACTTAGTGGCCCAAAGATCACAGCTCCTAGGAGAAGCCCCACCATGTAGACGGACTGGGAGATGTCATTCAGGTCCTTCCTGTCACACACCAGGTCAAACTGGAGGAAGGAAACACAGCTGCTTTTGCTCTTGACAGACCCCAGGTGCTTTCTGAGGGTGGGCAACTTTTCTGGTCCATGGTGGACCCAGAAGTTGGGTGCCCAAGCTCTCACTCCAGTCCCTGGGAGCAGAGAACCCACCCCCAAGGAGATGAGCCTCCATGGTGTGCATGTAGGACACAAGTCAGAGGTGGGACAGGCATATGAGGTGCTCAGCCTGCCTCTTCATCATGGTGCACATCTCCCGAGTGCTGGGACCTGCAGGACTCCCCTCCAACCCAGACATCCCTGAGGGAGCCTCCTGGTTGGCAAGATTTGCTTAAAGTGGGACCTTTGGATAAGAGTCCTAGCAGCCTGCTTCTCTGGCTGTAAAGGCAGGACAGGGTAGAAGGATGAGAAGGGCAGAAGAGCAGTGTTTTCTCTGGTACAAGAGGACTGGTGCAGGAGTGGGAAGGGATGCAGCAGCTGCTGAAGAGCCTCTAGAGAAGCTGGCTGTGAGATGGACACAGTGCTCCAGGGACCCCAAGGAGCCTTTGCAAATGCCAGAGGCTGGACTCTCTCCTCTGGTTTCAGCTCAGAGGAAGGTACTTGCTAAAAGTGCTGGAGCTGGGAGTGAGGAAAGGACGGAGGGAGGGAGGAAGAAGGGAGGAATGAGGGAAGGTGAGAGCGGAATAGCAGTCCAGGGAGGGAGAAGTTGGGGATGCTGATAGACGGAGCTTTTGCTCAACTGCATGGCCCATGGGGTGTCTTGTTTCAGCCCTGAAGGTCTGTGGAGGCCCCAGAAATATCAACGACAAGCTCTTGGAAGGTAAATGTGTTTCACAGAGAAGGTGATGTGAGGAGAACCAGGCTGAAGAATAAGGGAAACTGGCAGGGTGACCCAAAAGGTCCCTCCAGGCAAAATACATCATGGGCTCAAGGGCCAGGATATTGGAAAGGGGGGGGATGGTGGGCAGAGCATGTGCTGGACTCATGCCCTCACCATCTCTGCCTGTGGCCCCTCTGGGCATCTACATCATGGTCTTCCTGCAACAACCTCCCAAGGATTACAGCTGCAATCTGTGTGATGGAGCCATGGTCCCCCAGTACCTGGTGTAAATCTCAGCCTGACTGCACAACAGCTGGCACTGGCTTACCAAACTACAGGACAGGATATACCCATCCCTTCCCTTCCATGTCCCTGGCACATCAAAAGACGATTACAGACCTCGGTCAGCAGGGATGGTGGTTGAGCTGAGGGGTACACCCAGCCACTGCTGCATTTCTCCGTGGCGTTCAGGCCATACGCCACGATGGAGGCGAGGTCCCGGTCCACCGGTGAGTACATGGAGCACTGCTCGTACGCCCCGTCTGCATCCCGGGGCAGGGTGAGGTTCAGCTGCTCTTCCTCCGTCAGGTTGGGGCCAATGGCACGGATCCAGCTGGTGTCACAATGATGAGGCACATCCACAACCATGAACACTTGGCCAATCATTTGGAAAGGACTAAGAAGTAGTGGGAGGGAAAGGAACAGTACCAGCAATTTCTGATATAGCCCAAACTCCCCCAGAGCACTTATAAAATCTCCAAACTCAGCCATGGTGACTATCTCTATGGCCAGGCTGCACTAGGGCACATTGCTTAAATAGGCAAATATTAATGTTTAAGCTATGTGAGCACTAAACCCCTAATCAGGCGTGATAAAATGAGCACTTGTATCAGCACGTTTGTCCATTACAATGACATACTACAGTCCTCCAGGGTGTACTTTGGCACCAGCCATTCCCTTCCTGTTCTTGGGGCCAGAACAAAGGTGCCAGAGCATTGGCAGTCTTGGGGACAGTGTGGGGACAGCTTTTCTTGTCCCAGCCCAGAGTGTCTCCCCAGGCCTCCTGAAGGCAACTATGCTGCAGCACAAGGTTTTCATCCAAGACATGAAGTCGTGACTCTGCAAATGAGAGCTAATTTTCCTATGTGTGGTGAAACAAACTGAGTAAATTTGCTGCTCTCATTAATGGCTTAATGGATATATAACCCACCCCAGAGACTGCAGGAAAGAGAAGCAGAAAAGCAGTTCTCCTCTGGACCAGGAAATATGGCTGGTTGTCAAGTAAACTTGGTCTTGACAGCTGCGTCCTAAGCTGTCGGTTTTGATTTGCCCCATGTAGAAACCCTGGTTAGCCATAAAACTAGATCTGAACTGCAGTGTCTTGGGGAGAAGCCTAAAATAGATTTGGCTTAGAGAGTACTCTTAAGAAAAACATAGCACATTATCCACAGAGACATACAGAGCACAGAGGATTTGAGGATAAGAAATGACACCAGCTTGGTTTTGCCCGAGGTTCTGATGTCACTTGAAAAGCAGATTGACCTGATTTCTGCTGCATGTCTGAGCTGCTTCCTGGATGGACTCCCTGAGTGGTTTGTATTTTTATTCCTGGAAACTGGAAAGCTGGATTGCCCTCAGTGTATGAAATTCGGTGTGTAATTTGGCAAAGGTCTCCTGGCTGCTTTCACCAGAGCAATAAGGACAGGTCACTAGACACTGACCTTCTCACTTCATGTCTCCCCTCAAATTCTTCGCCCTTCACTCTCAACCCAGGTAGCACATCTGATACTCCAGCAAAGTTACTGGAGCATCACACAAGTCTGCGTTGGTGTTTCATGAGTGGGTATGGCACTGACATGCTCATGAAAGTGGGAAGAGGGGTAGAAGATAGGATCTTAAAACATCACCCTCTAAGCTGGGGTGGGAGAGAGAGGTCATAGCAGTTAATGCTATTGGGAGTAAAGGAAGAGAGGAGTAAATGTTACTTAGAGTTGTGTAAATTCACACCAGAGGTGTGAACGTATCATGTGCATGCACCACTCAGCCAAACATATCACTGGGCTCTGAATCCACATCCTTGGATGAGAGGACTTGCTATTATTCAGAGACATGCCTTGAACAGGAGGTTGAGCTAAGCAACCTCCGGAGGTTCCTTTTACTCTAAATCCATCTCTGGCCATGTTGTGGGATGACTTGGCCAAGGAGATCCACTGTGGCAGGGGCATTTTGATCCTCTGCTGCTGAACTGCTGAACAGGGAGTAGGCACCTTTTCCATCAGCATGCAACAAGCTGAAATCTTCAAGCTTACCCTGTTGTGTGTGGCTCATGGTCTTCCCTCCTGCCCCTCAGCCACCACCTGTGGCAAAGAGGTCAGATTTTGACTATAAAAACTCCTTGGGGGTGACCCAGACATGACTGCAGTCTCATGTGCTAACACAGATGTGACTTCTTGAGGCTGTTCTTCCTAATGTCACCAGAGAGGCTCTTCTGAAGCCCTAGGAAAGCTTCAGTCCCTTATAAACTCTGTCAGCCTAAGATGACATTTCTCATTTCTTATGACTATCTTCATCATCTGGGGCTGAGTGGGTCAACCCTGCATGGTGGCGATCTCTCAGGGACAGAGGCTGGGTCAGCCCTGCAAACCTCTGTTTCCTGGAGCCCCACAACTAGAATTTCTGTCCTTATTTCTCTCTGTCTGACAGTTTTACCCAGGTGGATTACTAACACTTGCAAAGCCTCTTGAAACTGGAAAAGCCTCTATCAGAGGGCATGAGAAATCAGCAGGTCTCCAGGAAGACCTGGTATGGGCAGCTGGAAAGCCTGTACATCCATGTACACATATCAAGGACTAGGGGAAGGGAGAGGGAGCATCCAAAAGTGTAGTTCAGAAAGAGAAACCATTGCCTGGGAAGGAAGGCTGGTGTGGGCAGCAGAGCATTGATGCACTAATTCATGGACTTGGCTTTACTCTTACACATCTCTGAACATCAGGAGTAACTGTGGTTGGAGACCCATTTGGACACCTGTATGTTGGGGTGAACTGCGGCCAGAACAGATTCATACCCACCAGCTGTGGTGCTCCTGCATTTTCCCTCTTCCTCTTAGTGCTGGCAGGGAGAGGCCAGGCTTGTGGGTGTCATGTACTAGTGTCAACCTGGTCTGGGGTGTCACTCAGAGCATCTTTGGCACAGGTAACAGGCCACTCCCCACTGCTTCAGTGAAAGGTGCTTGATCCCTGCAAGCCTTTAGGTCTCATTTCTCCACCTCTAAGCAGCTTGACCAGGTTTCAGGCAGGGCTGTGAGATGGTAGCACCTCTGTCCCAAGTCTCTTGCCCCATCCCCAGGTGAGACCAACTTCAGCATCTAATGCGTCATGTAACTTTCAAGGACATCTCTCTTTTTCCTGACTCATGTTGATTGAGCAATCTCCCTACACAGAGCACTGACACACTGCTTTGCAGCAGATGCAGTCATTAAGCAGCTTTATTCCTCCAGCAGATCTGACAGAGCCAGGGTTATTTCGGCAGGGAGGTTGGGGGTTTTTTATTATTTTAGAAATGAATTATTTTAACATCTTCATCCCTGTGTTTTTACAGACAGCTGATTAAAACAGGTGAAGTGATATGCTCTACCACCCTTTTCATAGTACACGTGTTCTTGCTTTGACCCTCTGAGGTTTCTGGTGAGCTTATTTATCATTAGTATAATTGTTAACTCCTATAACATTTATGTTATGTCAGCAAAGGGCAGTCAGGGAGGGTCAGAGTGCAACTGCACAGGGAGAGCAGATGTAGCAATGTCCCTACACCCCAAGACTTCAAGAGATCTGGGTTCCCTTTCCTCCTTTGCCCTTCTGACCAGGTGACCTTGGAAAGGTCATTTCACTTATCTTTTCTCATCATCATACAATGAGGCTAATGATGGCAACCTCCTATGTGAAGCAATTTTGCAGTCTACTGAAGGAAAAATATAATGAGGGGAGTGAGATATCATTCTTAAGTGTAGGCAAGCAATATGGTGAAAATGGGTATGATGTTTTGGGTTGGATTAATCTCTGGATGTCTAAATGTAGTTGTCTATATGTGAAATAGATACATAAGGTTGCGCTGTAGTTAGTGGAGGTGGATCGACACAGTTAACAGAGTCCAGAGAGCTGTTAGCTTTTTGAATGCAGTTGTCTCTCTCAGGGTGGGCTGCATCCCTCCCCAGACTGTACTTGTTAATTCTCCATTGACTCTGACGTGGGCTTAAGCATTTGGCTTACATTGAAATGCTAATATTGCAGCACCTAAACCTCATTTGGAGACAAATGTTCACCTGCCCCCCTCAACTTTGCCTTTGTTCATTGCATTTTACTTGTGCACTTGTGGCCAAGGATTAGGTTCCTTCCTGATAATGACATTCTATTCTCATTTGAGTTTCTAGTTCTTGATTAGCTTGTTGCTCATGGCTGCTTGCTGGGTGGACCTCTTCTGAGGTCTGTCTCCCCTCTGCCATGCAGACAGTGGCCATGCACACATCCTCTGAGGGACCTTGGCAGTAGATTGTGCAGAAGAACCCCTCTGCAGAAGACCCCTGGGTGCAGAGAACGGGGTGCTGGCTGGTCTCTCCTTGGAGGTTCCTCACAGTGAAGCCAGTTTGTGCAATGTTCTTTTTCGGGAACTGAGCACTGATCCACTATGACCAAGATAAAGACCTTAAATTTAGCTCCTTAAGACAGTAATAAATCAGCCTATGCACAACTGAATTTGTCTCATGGCAGAGGAGTGGGGGATTTCTGAACTGATTTCATGAATCAATTTTTATCCCATATTAGCTAACTTGTGCTGCAGGGGTGGATGCTCTTTTTCCTCTTCTTTTCTTCAACTATATAAAGAACTCCTGGTCTAAAAGGCCATCATTTGACACATTCAGGCCTGCAGAAGAGAGACTTTCATAATCTTCTTCAACTGCTGATGTTTTTCTGTTCACTTTTTCAGGAGCCTCCTGGTTCATTTTGGTTGAATCAACATCAAAAGGATCAAAGACACCCTGATCAAAGATTTCAGAAGCATGGCTGGTGAACACATACACTGGGGGAAAATTGTCTTCCTGTGTGGAGACACGCTTGTTTGTTGAGCCTTCATCACTGAGACCCAATTCAAATGTATCTTCTGCAGCCTTTGGAGCCTGGCACTGTGGATCCAACTGCTGCAGCAGTGCACAGCTCTGAATCCCTTCCGGGTCTCTAATATTAATCTCATCCTGTCCAGCAAGAAGTGGGAGACTGGAGGTATCCCACAGCACTAGTGGTGTATTTGTTTCTGCTGGGATTTCCTGGCATAATTCTGAAGGATTTGGATCAAAGCAAGGTGGAGCTTCTGACCCTGAATTTTGCAAGTCTGAACTTGGGGCTTTACTTGCTATGCTGGGAAAATCTTGTCCTCCAGAAAAGAAGAAATTATTGCCCTCCAGAAAATCCACGTTGTCTACCTGAAGCTCAGCTTCCTTGGGTAACTTCTCTGAATTGCTTGGTGAAAAAAATATCCCATGATCTATCACTGTGCCCTGAATTTCTAGTAGATGAGTATTATGAGGATTTCCTTCCCTGATGAGATTTTTGCTGTTATCAGCTGCAGGCCTTAGCTCTGGAGGAGGATGTAGAGGGTTTGTTCCACCTTCTGAGGTTACTGCAGCTTCTTTCTGATTTTCCTGTGCTGGCATGAGAGAGGGCCAACAGCTGTCTTGTTGCTGCCGAACCTGACTATTTAAAGCCAGTTGGTCATGAACG